GATGTGGCACAGCTCGGGACAGCCCGACGCGCCCGGCTCCCAGCCCGGCCCAACCGCTGACCCGCAGCCTCCCGGGCGCTCCAGAAATAGAGCCCCGAGCCGGGGTGCGGGAGCGGGACAGGGACCCCAGCCCCAACCGGGCCACCGGCGGGGGTGCTCGGGCTGCCGGCCGCCCACCCCACGGGGACCGGCCCGTGGCCCGGCCCGGCGGGACCCTCCACGTGGGACGGAACCGCGACGCCCGCTCCTCGCGCAGCTCGGGGCCGTGAGCGGGCGGGAGCTCGCTCTATTTCAGGGTTTGGGGGAGTTTCCGACCGCGAGTTGGCGAGGTTACCTCAAATTCTCCTCCCGAAATCACTTCCCCACCCCCACCCAGGAGGCACCCGCGCTCCAGCTCGTTCCTAAGGACGAGCTCCTTGGTTGCTAGGCTGCGGCAACGTCACTTCCGGTAGTTGGGGCGCTCTCGGGCTTTGGGGGCGGGACCCTGATGGGGGATCCGACCACGCTCAGGGCAGATTCCCAGGATCTGACGCCTGTCAGAGCCCAGAGCTGTTGGGCCTGTGACCCTGACTTAGATGCGAGACAGTTACCTTTCGGAATGTCCGTCCAGCAGTTGCAGTTTTGGAAATGCTCTAAATAATTAATCTGTGCTAAATGTGTTTGCTTTTTCGTTCATTCATTTATTCATTCACTCACCAAACATGGGCAATGACTTCTTTGTTTAAGATAGGACCTCTGGGATTTCGGCTGAGGAAGCGTTTGGCCCAGGCTTCAAATTTAGCTCTTTGATATAAGTACGTCCAAACTAGGTTATGCATAGGAACAGTTGCAGAGAGTCTGAGAGTCTGGCAGGATTAAAAGGAGACACATTCATCATCGCGATTTCAGCTTCTGTGTCACATTATTGGGCCACATTCCCTGTAGTGGGAATTAATTTTTTCAATACAGTAATTTTTTTTAATATGCTGAGAGCAAGAAAAAGAAAAAGTAAATGACTTAAAGCTCTGCTTGGCCTCTAAGAGGCTATCTTTGAGCACATAAAGTAATACATTAAGTCGTCTTTGTCTTCATAGAGGTCACACCCTGGACAGTTTGCAGGGAGGTCGTTGTGCCACATCACTGGTGAAGTTGGGAAGTTCCTGGAAGAGAGACCCCAAAATTGCACTGTCTGGTTTGGGGGAGGCCTTGGTTGGTGAATAGTATTTTGAGCTTATCCTTACTAGACTGGAGATCACTGTAATTTGGTGATATCAGGCGGCAGTGCAAAGAAGAAAACAACAACAACAAAAAAATCATATTCTTCTGACCCTGAAAAGAGAATGGACTGCTCAAACCCATTAGGAGAAACCAGCTACAGAGAACATCGTCAGAGTTACAGCGACCCAAACATAATAAGTTAGAATACTAGGCATTTCACTGTGTTTATTTTGATTTGTTTTTTTTTTGAAACAGGGTCTTACTACGCAGTTCAGGTTGGCCTTGAACTCAGTGTGTAGCCCAGACTGTCCTGGAATTCACGGCGCTACTCCTGCCTCAGCCTCCCAAGTGCTTGGGTTACAGGAGTGCGCCACCACACTCAGCTATTCGGCGTTTTTTACCTGTCTGGAGCCATGCTGGCTGCTGGGACTGCAGTGGAGGGCAGGACTTGATCTGATTCCTGCTCTCATGCAACTGGTTGTACAGTACTGGAAGAAGATAAAAAGGGTCAGGACTGAGATAAATGCTATAATAAAAGCATCCAGCGATGACCAAGCCTAGATAAAGGGCCCCAAGGTTATCTAGGGAGGCAAAGGAGCCATGTTTCAGATGCAGCGATGAGTAAGTCTCGTTAAACTAATCAAACAGGAAAGAACTTTCCAGGCAGAAGGAACAGTACATTCCAAGATCGATCCTGTTTCTGGCTGCCAAACCCTGGCCACTTGGAGAGAGGCTGAAACTTTTCCCAGCTCACCGACGCTCACACCCAGGTGGGGAAGTCAACAGCTAGATATTGAAAAGCTAAATAATTAAAATAATCGGGGAGAAACACTACCAGATTGTACAGGAGTTGTTGAATGAGCTGACCCCATTGACAGTCCTGCCTTCCCAGTGTGGAGTCCTGGGTCCGCCGCGGTGCCGGCTTGAGAGATTCCCTCACGGCTCTGAGCGCTCTCATCTGTGAAGCACGGCCACGTAACCCCGTCCTCAAGCGAGCCCACGCGGGGACCGAGTGTGTGGGCACAGCCAAGCAGTCAGAGCGGTGGCTGATCCTGGGAAACACTGAAGACCTTTTCACCTTTTTTGATTTTCTTTTTTTCAAGCGAGATGGTTAGATCTGCTCCTTCTGTGAAGGCCACAGAAAGTCACTGTGCTTCCCTGGTCCTTCCGGTCTCTCCTCCACCTGCGCCGCTGTGCATGCATGCTGCTCTTGGCAGCGAGGCGCCTGGGACCCTGTGTGAACTCCAGTCAGCGAGGGAATCCACTCTGCAACTAACCTGGAATGGACTTTGTGCTTACTGTGGTCGCTCTCGGAACAGCCAGGAGAGCGTGAGGGTAGTCAGCATGCTTCTCGGGGCGTCTGTGTTGACGAGCTCATAACTTGGGACAGAGAAAGACAGAGACAGACACAGACAGACAGACACACAGGGCCCCTTTTTGCTACTATCTTGTGGTTCCTTGAAGGTAAAACCTTGGGTGGATTCACTAGAGCTCTCTGAGGAAGTTCTCAGCAGTATTTCACAACGGGGAGGCATTGCTGGGTTTTTTTTTTTTGAGGCGGGGTCTGACTGTGTAGCCCAGGCTGGCTTTGAACTCAGCCTCCGGAGTGCTGGGATTAGATTGTAGGCGTGTGCCACCACACCCAGCTTTGCTGGTTCCACCTCAACTCACTGTTCCTTGGAGATTATGTTGAGTCTTCTAGTAAGCACCCCATGTTCCCTTTAGGCTGAACTGTATTTAACATTTATTGTTTGTTTGTTTGAAACAGGGTCTCTTTGGCCTTAAACTCACAGCGACCCTCCTGTCTCAGCCTCCCGAGTGCTGGGAATCAGGCATGTGCCACCATTCCTGGCTGACATTTTTGAGATGGAAGGAAGGCCTAGCTCTACGTGACAGTAGCCGAAAGCAGCCAACTTCCACTCCACTCTCCTTTTTAGCAGCAGTATTGAGAATTCAGTGTATAATTCAATGACTTTTACCATATTTACAAAGAAGAGTAAACACTGCGGACACAGATTCTACTGGCCATGTCAAGTGTGCTTTCCTCTGCGTGGAGTGGCTAGGAGCAGTAGGTTTACATCCTGCCGGCTTAGCAACCCCTATGAAAGTAGAATCTCTTCTCCAATAGTTTCAGGAAATTCCAGGGCCACCTCTCATTGGCCCAAAACATGTCAGACCACACTTGACTCAACCTATGACTCTGATGACCGCAGTAGGAGATTAAATGACTCCGATTCCTCAAGAGGAAGGCCAGCTTTGTTACCTGAGGTAGAGAGGCCCTGCGATAAGAACAGGCGTCCATACTTTGCCCGGCAAAGGCTGTCACACCTTGAAGGCCACACAAGAGAACCAGAAGGGGGAAAATGTGCAGCTACTGATTGTTGGGAGGGTCTGTATCCGCGAGAACCTCCTCGATTTCCTTCCAGCAGACTTCAGCCCTAAAGCAGGTCTCCGTCACGGGCAAAGCGAGGTCCTGGGATTACAGCAGACCCCCGCCCCGCCCCCAGTCCCCATGGAAATCTGAGGGTGCCGGGAACACTGTGTCTCCCGCCCCGTCTCATCCCAGAACTTCCAAACAAGAACTTTCCTGTGCCGAGGACAGGGAAGCCAAGCCAATTTTCTGGTTTTGATATTAAATTTAGACCTTTCATCCTGACTCTGAGATATTTCTGGATCCTGCATGAGCATTCAGGGGATGCCAGTCTTCAAGATGCTGTCCCATCTGGGGCGGCTCTGCCTGCTGCCCACGTTATCTCTTTCTCTCAAGACTGGGAAAAATGACCCAGGTGCGGGAATGAATTTAGAAGGAAGTGGGTTATTTCGCCATCCATTAATTGCCATTGAATGCCTCTGCCGTCTAGGATACTTGGAAAGGAAAGGAATTAAATTTGAATGGAAACCCAGATTGAGGTTTGCAGATATCCTAAATTGTCTCTGATCTGGCAATGTAATCTTTTTTGTTTGCAATTTAATCTTATAGGTATGTTTAGTAGCTGAATGTGCTTTCTTAAAAGGTAAAAAGATAGCCTGGCGTGGTGGCACACGCCTGTAATCTCAATAGTTGGGGGCTGAGGCAGGGGGGTCACGGTGAGCTTGAGGCCAGTCTGGGCTACATAGTGAGACCCTGCCTCAAAAAAAAAAGAAAAAAAAAAAAGGTAAAAAAATAAATAATGTGTGACGCATTCAACTAAGTGGATAAGATTTCATATGATTTTTTTTTTCATATGATTTATAAAATGCATATCTGCTACTACATTTTTGTGACATCGCTTTTCTTTTTTTAAATAGAGCTTGTACTTGCAAATGGACTGTGGTTTTCAAAGAATAGAAATCACTGATGAGATTAGTGGGCAGTATAGGCCAGCCAAAGTAATATGCAGCTCGTGTTGGCTCTTTGGTTAGCTGCATGTTTTGAAATTCAGGGCGCACCCCGTGTTCTCACCGGGCCCATAACTGTGTTGCTATATGTCGGGTGCTTTTGTAAGTACTTCGCGTACCTGTCAGAATTTACTTGAATAGTAATGTCTGCGTGCACTCCCTGTTTCTCCTTTTGAAACAGTCCCACTGTCTTGGAAGTTAATCAACTTAGCAAGACCCTGTCTCAAAGTAAAAAATTTTTAAAAGGGGCTGGGGAGCAGAGCATGGTGGCACACGCCTGTAATCCCAGCACTCAGGAGGCTGAGGCGGGAGGATCGTTGTGAGCTCGAGAAAAACAAAAAGAAAAAACAAAGAAACAAAAAAACAAAACAAGAGAGAATGGAGGGGCTGGGGATTTAACTCAGCGGCAAAAGCGCCTGCCTGGCAAGCGCAAGGTCGTGAGTTCGGTTCCCGGTACCAGAAAAAAAAAAAAAAAAAAAAAAAAAAAAAAAAAGAGAGAATGGAGAAGAGATGCTAAGAAGCAGCCCACGAGAGGGGTGCAGGGTAATAAACCCGGAGCAGCCCCTGAGAAGGCGGAATCCTCCACCGAGGCCACATCACCAGCCCAGTGGCTTCCAGTGTGGCCGAAGCTTTCTGTGTCCCACAGCTGGTATGGGAGCACCAGCGTCACTGGACCTGGAAGGACCTGGAGGGATGATGGATGACCAAGCAGTCACCAGGGTGGGCGCTGAGTGGGGCCTGGAGCTTGGTGACTGCAGAAGCGCCCAGGGCCTTGGCAGACTCAGCCTGTGTGTGTGTGTGTGTGTGTGTGTGTGTGTGCGTGTGCGCGCATGTGTGTGTGTGTATGTGTGCGTGCGCGCGCGTGTATGTGTGTGTGCATGTGGAGGTGTTCTCTTTAATCAGATCCCATTTCTCTCCAACCTAGCAGAAGGGGGCCTCAGGGCTGGATTTCAGTAGATTATAAAATGACGCTACTCTTCTTGCAAATCTGAGTTGTGGACTGAAATCAGAACCTCTGTTAGCATCCTGCAAGGGTAAGTGTGGGACACTCGGGGCAATTAAGGAAAGCTTAATACAGGACCACGTGTGAAGGTGTGGGCAGCGTTGGGGGGAGCAGACAGTGCTGCCCCAGAGCCTGAGCAGGGAGAGGAGGGGACAGGCAGCAAAAGCCTGAAGGAGCTGCAGAGTGGAGGGGCCGCCTAACAGGAGCCGCTGCATGTGGCCAGATCTGAGCCCTCTGCACCCACCTGATCTCCCATTGGCTAAACCCAGCAGGGCGGCAAAGGGAAGGAGGTTACCCTGTGGGTCTGCCTGCTTAGACAAAGAGAAGGGCAGAAGACAGCAGGAGGGGCAGGCTGACTATTATTATTGTTATTATTATTTAGTATATGTTTGTGATACATGATGATTGCATTCATCTTGGGGAATTGGTCCATATACATAATGCGGACTGATTCTTTTCCTTTTCTTCTTTTCTTTTTTTTTTTTTTTTTTTGTATTTTTGAGACAGGGTCTCGCTATGCAGTTCAGGCTGGCCTTGAGCTCACTGTGTAGCCCAGGCTGGCCTTGAATTCACAATGATCCTCCTGCCTCAGCCTCCTGAGTGCTGGGATTACAGGCATGCGCCAACACACCAGGCAGACTGATTCCTTATAGGTTGGGTTCTCTGACCACAGTGATGGCCAGTCCACCCACCCTCACATCTTCCCTCACCCCCTTGTAGCTGACACTCTGAGTACTGCACGGAGTCACCTCATCACCTGTACCTACATCATCTCATTTAATCCTCACCACTAACAAGTCTGCACAGAACCTTCTACTGTCTGTGCTTTCCCACTTTATAACTGAGGAGACTGAGGCCCGGAGAGTGGACTGAGGACCCCAAATCACAAAGTTAGCAGCTGGCTGAGCTAAGGTTCAGAGTGGAATCTACTTGATTCCAAAGTCATTTTCACCGACCCACTAAACTCAACGCCTGCTCGGAGCCTGAAAGGACCACAGTCAACAGCCGAGGTGGGAGAGGAGGGGCTCTCTGCCCAGAGGCCCATGACTGGGAGGAAATGCTGTCCCCCTCTCCGCCTCCCGGGTCTGCCAAGCAGCATGGTCTCCTTAGCCCCGTGGGTCAACGGCTTGAAATGCAAGCACAAACCCCCGAATCAAAGCAGGGAAGATAGAGTGAAAACACTTGGCCGATGATGGGGGAAAAAAGTGTATTTTCATTTCAGATGCCTTTCAAGTGCTTTTTTTCTTCCCCAGCTGAATGCTCAGTGTATTTATAGAATTCAGGGGGAGTATTTAAGGGTAAGCGGCAGTGGAGCTGCATTTAGGGCCATCAGGAAGCTCAGAATCATGCAGAAAATGATTGATGGGGGGGGCGACAAGAAAAAGGCCAAGGACAGCGGGGCATAAATGGGTTTTGTCCTGCATGTTGCCAAAACCTTTTCATCCTCCTGGGCTGGTGACGTCAAATCACAGCCTGAGACTGTGCCGTAGATGGAATCACAGAATCAACGTGATGGGCGAGGGGGCGAGTAGGTCAGCAAAGCACGCTGTGCACAGGCGGTCGAAAGGAAGTCAGATGTGAAAAGAAAGGAAGTCCTGAGCCTGCAAGATGCTGCACTGAGCGAAAGAAGCCAATCACAAAAGGACATGCGGTTTGAGTCCACTGACATGAAATACGGAGGCTCAGAAAATCCAGAGACAGAAACACAAAACTGGGGGTTGCCAGTGGCTGGGTGGAGGGAGGAAGGCAGAGCAAGCGCTTAGTGGGTACCCAGTTTCCTTTCGGGGTGATGAGAATGTTCTGGAACTAGAGGTGATGGTTGTACTATGTTGTGAATTGCTAGATGCTATTGAATTGTTCCATTTAAAATGGTTGATTTTATGTTATGAGGATCCCACCTGATTACAAAAAATTGGGCAGCCAGGCCCTGGGAAGTCAACCAGGTCATTCCACGTCCTTCAAGCTGTCCCATCCCCCTGCAGCTGAAGTCCCAGCCACTGCAGGGCACAGGCCTGAGACCTCACCTCTCTCTCAGCTCCCCAGCTATGGATCCCTTTGTGTTGATCAAACATGCCGAACCTGTCCCTGCCTCAAGACCTTTGCATTCTCTGCTCTATCTGCAGCCTGGCCTTCTTTGGCCAGGTATCCACAAGCCTGGGTTCTTCTCGTCATTCAGGTCTCAGCTCAAATGCATGCTTCTTTGTCAACAAGGTGTGAACCTCTTTTTTTTTTTTTTTTTGTCTTTTTGAGACAAGGTCTCACTATACAGTTCAGGCTGGACTTGAGCTCACTTTGTAGCCCAGGCTGGCCTCGAGCTCACAACGATCCTCCTGCCTCAGCCTCCCAAGTGCTGGGATTACAGGCATGTACCACCACGCCTGGCTTCAAGGCCTGATCCTCTTAAAATTGGGACCCTACCAGCCATTCTCCATCATTGCATGGTACACACTTTGAGTTATGGCCTCTTAGAGGATACCAAGGGCAGTTTAGTGGGTTAACATTTGGTTAACCCAGGCAACACCTAACAGGGCCGGATACTTAATAGATACTTAATAAATATCTGTTCTCATTGAGTAGGTTGTTGTTGAATCAGCTCTCATTTCTTGGGTGCTGAGCATTGAAAAGTTTTTTTGAATGTGTTCTCATGTATTTGAACACCTACTGTGTGCCAGGCACTATTCAAACTGCTGCTGCAACAACAAGAAATAAAATAGACTATAACTCCAGCCCTCGTGGAGTAGATTTTCAGTGTCACACAAGAACAGTAATGAATAAATTCTTTGAAACTTTTTTTTTTTGTCTTGGAAACAGGATCTTTCTATGTCGTTAGGCTGGCCTTGAACTCTTGACTATGTAACCCAGGTTGACCTTGAACTCATGATAATCCTCCTGCCTCAGCCTCCTGAGTACAGGGATTACAGATGAGTGCCACCATGCCTGGCTTTGTTGATAACCTTTTGACAGAGAAGTCAGGCACCTTGCCAAAGGTCACACAGCTAATTAGATCCCCCTGACACCTGCGTCCTCGCCACTCTGCTGTAGATGTTTGGTTTTGCCCAGGATGGGCCTCGGTGCTCACAGATCTCCATCCCTGCCATTGCTCCTCAGGGGATCAAATTTGTCCTTCTGGGAATCAGACCCAGAGCAGAGGGAACAGGCTGGTCCTGTGACCTCAGCGTCCCTGCCTTCTCCGCTTAGGACCCCTCCACGCCGTGACGACAGTGACGATGACGGCTCACACCTGGGGTGTTGCAGATTTGAACCAACGATCTCAGTCACTCCCACTGTCTTATCGGCATGTGACATCCCCAAGTGGCTGGGGCCGGGAGGCCGGGCAAAGAATGCAGGCTGGGTAAAAATAAACCTGCCACATTCTTTGGCAGCCCCCTGCCCCCTGCCCCTTGCCGCTCTGCCCCGTCCTTGGGGCGGCAGAGTGTGCCAGGGGAGGCAGAGGCGCGGAGCACAGGGTTGGGGAGCAAGCGCCGCTGCCCTCCAACCCCGAGGAAGACAGGGAGAGAGGGAGAGAGGGAGGGAGAGAGCGAGATCGCCTTATATGGGAACACGCGCAGACAATGTGTGGCAATGGCTTGGAGGGCAGCACGGGTCAGATACCAGACAGATGGAAGAAATTAAACATGGGACAGAGCGTGTTCCTGGGCCTGAAAACAGCTCTTGTTTCCCAGCGAGGCCACACAAAGCCTCACCCGTTTTCCTTTTTTGCCTAAGCCGAGCACGACGTGCACCCCGAACCCCACACCACTTTGATTCCCGCCCCCGACTCCGGCCTTTCCTTGGCTGGCAGAAGTCTCGGGACTTTAAAGTCATTTCCTGGATGAGCAGAGTTTCTCATTGCACATGGAGAGGAAAAGGCTGGGCCTGCTGCCCAAGCTTCCGATACGGCTGCAAAGCGCGTCCTCCAGCGCTGCGTGAGCCGAGGGCCTCTCGCTTCTCCTTCATTCACTCCGCCACCCGGGCCGGGGTGGGGAAGGTGGCGCCGGTGACGCCAACAACAATCACCGTTACGATTCACTGATGTGCACCCATCTGATGAGTATTTCAACAGCTAGGAAGAACCTACTCAGCACTCTCCCCGCTGCAGTCATCGGTGACACACACCATGGGTGGAGAGTCACCCGGTCCCTGCTGTGTGGAGTTTATTCACGCGGAGGCGGGAGAAGGCAGCGGTGACGGCTGATACGAAGAAATAATTCCCTGGGGTTCTCACAGCAGCTCTGCACGCTTGCTACCACCGTCATCGCCACGTAACACAGGATTTTTTTTTTTTTTTTTGTACCAGGAATCGAACTCAGGACCTTGGGCTTGCCAGGCAGGCGCTTGTGCTGCTGAGCTATATCCCCCGCCCTAACACAGGATTTTTCAACCTCAGCACCAGGGACATTTTGGGCTGGATAAATCTGTGTCACTGTAAGATATTTAGCAGTGTCTTTGACTTGTACCCATTAGATGCAAGTATCAACCAATCCCTTTTTCCCAGTTGTGACAAAACGGCTTCCCCATATGCCGCCACACGTCAGCTGGCATGGAGGGCCGAGTCACTCCCGGCTGAAGCAGATGGTAAGCAGAGGCTCAGGCTGGGGAAGGAATTTCTAAAGGTCACCCCCGTTGGTGAGTAGGACTCACACCCCGGTGGTCCCTCAGACCCCAACATCTGGGTCCTAACCATGACGCTGCAAAACTACTTCCTCATAATAGACAGCTGGGAGTTTGTATGGCTATAAACTTCATTATCTCATTCCACAAAATCGAAGTCCTTTGACAAGCTGGCGCTGATGGGTTCAGACGTGCACAAGATCCAGTGAGACCCAGGGAACACTCGCCTGGGAAGGGTACAAGGGGGAGCTAGAGTGGGCAAGAGGGTCTTGCAATGACACCTGGGAAAGGTGAGAGGGAAGGGGTGGGCGGAGCTCAGCCACCAGGGCATGCTGGGAACCTTCTGGCCAAGCTTCGGGGGATGCCTGAGCCCAAAGTTCCCGGAAGAGGAATCCCAGAGCAGGCAGCAGAGGGGCTGCACTAGGATTCACACTGCATGCAGGCCCCGTCTGAGGAAATGCAGCCCCGGCATGAACTTGGCAGATCCAGAGGGGTGGGAGTGAGGGCTGCCATCGCAAATGCTCTCCAGGTGCACACCCTAGAGTGAGATGGGAGCGCGTCATCGGAGTGTCCCGTTAGTTACATTCATTTAGGCAGCATTAAGGACACCAGCAGAGACAGAGGGTGTAACTCAGCGGCACAGCCCTAACCTGGCATTCAGGGCTTCAGTTCCCCCCCTAGCACCGCCAGAAAAAGAAAAGGAAAAAAGTTACCAGTCAGCAGGAAGCGGTGCTGTACACCTGTAACCCCAGCTCTCTGGAAAGTGAGGAAGGAGAATCATAAGTTCGAGTCCAATCTGGGCAATTTAGCAATTTAGCGATGCCCTGTTTCAAAATACAAAGATAAAGAGGGCTGGGGCTGTAGCTCAGTGTGAAGGCCCTGTGTTCAATTTCCAGTACCAAAGGGGAAAAAGAAGGTCAGCAGCAGCAATGCAGTGGGTGACAAAGACAGGCTGGCGTGCTTTAGGCAAGAGTGTTCTCTTTTCCTCCACAGCCGTGGGCTTCTGCGTGGTGATCACAGCCAGCCCTGATGCACACGTCACAGTGAGCACGCAGAGCACAGCCTGTGGGCATGGGCGCCGTGCCAGCCTTGCTTTCCTCGTGTGCACGAGGGGGTCACCCCCCCCCTTACAGGGCTGCTGTGAGGGCTGAATGAATGCCTGTGACAGTGTGTGGAACTGCAGGACCCCCCCCTTTCTTTTTTCTTTTCTTTTTTTCACATAAAATTTTGAGTATCTGGGCTGCCTGGTACACCAGGAAACCTGGCCACACTGCATGGTGTCCGTGGGCCAGAGCTGACAAGAGGATGTTGTGCTTTATGGGGCCTGCACTGCCGGTTTGCCACAGTCCCCACCACTCCCTATTGTCTCTGGCCCTAAAGCCAGCGTCAGTCAGCACATTCACTGTCACATTCACGCTATTTTTCTTAGAGTAATGTTCCTCAGCCTCACACATTTATCAGAGAGGAAAGGAACGGGGAGATCAGAAGGGCCAGGATCTTTCTTAGTCCTGCCCCATCACTCAATCCCAGGGAGCCCCTGCAGCACCAGCATTGACCTTCCGTCTGCCACCCTTTCAAGCTCGTCTAGAATTTCCCTCTAAAGTCATCGCTGCTGTCTCATAAGAATCCCTTATGGTTCTACTTCCCTTCAAATTTATAAGCCACAATCAGCTCTGGGTCGTTCACATCTTCCGGCACCCCAGGTGTCTGCTTTTTTCCTTCCGTTTTAGGGAGTTTGAACAGGAGAGATGACATGGTTGACTCACAAGGACACAGCTGGCTAGTAGTGGCAGAAAAAAGTCCTCCTGACTCTAAGTCTGATATTTTTCCATTACTTGAAGCAACAAAGAGTATTCAGACTTACAGTTGCACAAGTCAGGCAGCTCACTAAAACTGGTTTAAGCAGAAAAAAGGCAATTGACTCCTTCGTGTAAATGGAAAACCCGAAGCTGCCGTGGACGTCAAGCGCAAGCAGATGGAGGAGCTCCAAGGTTGTCCTCGGGGCTCTGTCACTCCCTCTCCATCTCGCTTTACTAAGTTGGCTGTATTTGCAAGCAGCCACTCTACTGATGAAGGCAGGACAGCTGCCAGCTGTCAAATCCTATTAGCTTCAAATCCAATGGGAAGAGTTCTCCTTCCAGACCTTTCCCAGCAAATGGAATCAAGCCTCATTGGTTTTGATTGGCCAGATCCAGTCACATGCTCACCTGTGACCCAATCACTGGTCATAGGGATTGGCCAGACTCAGGTCATGTGACCCAACTGGTAGTGAAGGGGTGGGGTTAGCTACACCCAAAGAGGAGCTGAGGGTTTACAGTGGGAAGGAGTTCGGTGCTATTATCAGAAGAGGGGAATGAACGTCTGCTAAAGAAAACAAACAGCCCCCCCATCCCACAACAATAAACAAAACCTGTCAGTGGTGGCTGTCTTTGAATGGTGGGGTTATGGGTGACTCTGCCTTTGCTGCTTTGGTCCTTTCAGTGTTTTCTAGCATGAGGGGAAAGAAAGAATCCAGATGGTAATAGCAAAGAGGAAGTAACGCAAGTCTGGTGAAACAGCCAGCCTGTAAGCAACGTGAAGCCAGGGCCGGTCGCTGGTGGAGCGCTGCCCCGGACCTTCGGCCGCGGGGCCCACACAGTATCGGGGCTAGCTAGAGCTGAAGCCACAGCATCGACCCCTTTCCCTAAAGCCGGCCTCCCGTTCCTGTCTTTCCAGTGCTCTGAACCCCACTTCGTGTGGTACCCTCCTTCCTTCGGGGAGGCAGCCCTTGCCTCGGGCGAGTCCGTCCAGCCGGGCTTTCTAACCTCAGCACGGTAGATACAGAGGCCAGACGGTGGGGGACTGTCCTGAGCACTGTGCCATGTCCAGCAGCACCCCTGGCCTCCGTGCGTACTGGTAGATGCCAATAGCACACCCCTCCCCTAAAACTGTGACAACCAGGGGTCACCTGGAGGACAAAATGGGGTCTAGCTGAGAACCCCTGGGTCTAAATCTTCATGTCAATCTCGTTGCCCTGGCCAGTGATTGGTTCAGGCAGAGCCATGTGACCCACTTCTGGCCAATGAGATGTGAGTACAAATCATTTGGGGAGGGTCGCTCCTTTTATAAAGAGACACAGAGCGTTTGCGCCGTTTGCTGGTCCTCAGGATTTTGCCTTACTTGGATGTGAGTGTGGGAATGCAGTTGCCAACTTGCAGCCACGAGGGGCCCTCATTCAAGGGCAAAGGCATCGGAATGAAGGTGAAACCTGCCGGAGAGGATCTGCTCAAGTTGTTGAGGGGCTGCGTGAGCCTTCTTGTACTTTGCTTGTTAAATCAAAGCAAAGCGCTCCCTATGTTAAAGTGTTTAAGCTAATCTGAGCCACGCTTCTCTGTTACGTCGTCTTATCCATTCCAGGAATCGATTGAAGACGTTGTGCATACAGCGCAGAAAACCGCAACAGTGACCGGGAGGCTGGGACAGGGGTATCAGAATCTGTCGCAGGGGGCCAGGCTGTGGTCTGAGGGTCTCTTTCAGGAACCTCTGCCAATCAAAAGCAATTTCGGCTCCCTCGGGAATTGCTAATAACTGGTCCCGATGCTTGATGGAGGAAGGGTCTTCATTTCTTCTGCAAAACAAGAACCGATATTTGAGCGAGAACCCACTGTGTCTCATCGCATAAAAACAGCTACCCAAGCCGGGCGTGGTGGCGCACGCCTGTAATCCCAGCACTCGGGAGGCTGAGGCAGGAGGATCATTGCGAGTTCGAGGCCAGCCCGGGCTGCAAAGTGAGCTCAAGATCAGCCTGAACTACATAGTGAGACCCTGCCTCAAAAAGACAAAAAATAAATAAATAAATAAATAAAAAACAGCTACACAACACCAACATGTGTGGTTATTAAGCTACTATTTCTGGGAGTCTACCAAACTGCTTCTGAGATGGAGCTGATTAAGAAAGAGCTACGATGAAAGGCAAAACTTCTAGAAGCCTCAGTTTCCCTAGCTGTAACCTGGGAAGGGCGAGATGAGAATTCCCTGATCCTGAGGAGCGTTGGAGCACTTCATGAGCTGTAAAGCAGGGAAGGGATTATTGACTCTGACATCCCAGACCGACAGCATCCAAATAGTCTAAATTTAGGGTGTGGCATTACTAATTGAGTCTTTATATGTGACCTTGGTAAGTTTCTTATGCTTCTGAGGCTCTGCCTTCTTGTCTATACACTGGCAAGATCTTGTTCTGACTATGCACTGAGGCCAAAATAAGGCTTTTAGGAAAAGAGAGGCATATACCATTAATATTACTGTATTTCTCAATTTTCTTGTCTGGAGTCAGACAATAGCCGCCCAGATTTCATAGCGAATGTCGGTGCACTGCTTCCCTCTGGTGGTCAGAATTGGTACTACCGATAGTTATAATAACGGAAGGGTTCTTGAACAGAGATTTCCCCCTGGGAAACTGAGGCACAGAAAGGGGAAAGGACTTGGCCCAGAGCACAGAGCTAGCCATGGAAGAAGTGGAGTCTCTAATTTGAAGTTCCTGAATCTTTTCACTTTTTAGAAGTAGAAAAAATGAGGGCAGCTGGGCATGGTGGCAGATTCCTCTGATCTCAGCTATTCTGGAGGCCCAGGCAGGAAGATCATAAATTCAAGGCCAGGCTGGGCAATTTAGCAAGACCCTGTCTCAAAAATAAATTAATCTGGGTGCGGTGGTGCGTGTCTGTAATCCCAGCACTTGGGAGGCTGAGGCAGGAGGATTCCTAATTCAAGGCCAGCCTGGGATACATAGTGAGTTCAAAGGCAACCTGAACTGCGTACTGAGGGAGATCCGGTCTCAAAAAAAATTAATTAATTACTTAAAAAAGCAGAGGATATAGCTCAGTGACAGAGTGCTTGGTTAGCATGTTCGAGGCCCTGGGTTTAATCCCCAGTACCATAAGAAGCACAGGCGTTCTGGACAGATACATATTGAAGCATGTGTTGGTGACATTCACATACACATTGACACATATATGACCTTGAATCCTGTTCATAGCCCTGAGGCACTGAGGAGGACACCGATTTTAGAGAGGTTAAGAAATTTGGCCGCAGTCACTGGGTGAAAGCTCTAATCCCTCTGGCTGGTGTGAGTAAGTAAAGTATGCTTTTAAGGACATAAATAGGGGAAAGCACATGATAGCCTGGTCAAGCTGGACCACTGGCCTCCCCGCTGTGGGGTCCCTTCAGCATCTTGTAAAAGTGTCCTTCCTCCATCCAGGTCTCAGCCCTGGGAATCCTACTGATCTGGCTCAAGCCCCATATTTCGAGGCCCTGAACAGGTTTATTGTTTCTTCTTAATATCTTCCCTTAGTGGTCATATTTTCTGGCAGGCCTTTTCTGACTACTCTATTTAAAATTTCAATCCTCGCCCTTACAACTCAATGACAAAAAGACAAACAACCCAGTTCAAAAGTGGACAAGTGATTTGCACAGACATTTTTCTGAGAGATATGCCTATGGCCAAGGTGCCCGTAAAAGGTGCTGCACCCCCAGTGATCCGCATCAGGGAACTGCAAATCAAAACCGTAGAGAGCCCACCTTCTACCGTACTATGGCTGTTATTTCAAACTGGAAGCTGGAACTGGTGCATGTTTGGTGGGAATGTAAAACAGTGATGCTGCTGGGGGAAACAGTTTGGCCAGGCCTAAAAAAGCTACACCTAGACTGGGCGTGGCAGTGCACACCTGTAATACCAGGCCTTGGGAGGCTGAGGCAGGAGGATCATTGCGAGTTTGAGACCCAGCCTGGGCTACAAAGTGAGCTCAAGTCCAGCCTGAACTGCACAGCAAGACCCTGTCTCAAAAAGATTAAAAAAAAAAAAAAAAATTTACACCTTATGACTCAGCAATCCCACTTTTTACCAAAAGAGTTGAAAACAAGGACTCAAATACTTTTATACAAAAGTTCAAGGGGTTGGGGGTATAATGGGGCCGAGGGTATAGCTCAGTGGCACAAGAGCCTACCTGGCAAGCGCAAGGTCCTGAGTTCAATTTCTGATACCCCCCCCCAAAAAAAAGTTCATAGCAGCATTATTCAGAGCCCAGAGCTGAAGACAGCCCAACCATCTGATGAGTGAATCAGCAAGATGTGGCACAGATGTCCCTCAACCTGACAACGGGGTCATGCAGATAAACCCACTGCAAACTGAAAATATTGTAAGTCGAAATGCATTTTATGTAGGCCAGGTGTGGTGGCGCGTGCCTGTAATCCCAGCACTTGAGAGGCTGAGGCAGGAGGATTGCCGTGAGTTCAAGACCAGCCTGGGCTACATGGTAAGCTCAAGGCCAGCCTGAACTGCATAGTGAGGCCCTGTCTCAAAAAGACAAAAAAAAAATGCATTTCATGGACCTAACCAATAGCATGTCACAGCTTAGCAATCAGCACACTGTAGGCTGTCACTATTTCCCTTGTGATCTCGGGACTGACGGGGAGCCGCAGCTCATCCCTGCAGCCCAGCATCATGAGAAAGGATCCTACCCTTTGTAGCTAGCCTGGGAAAAGACGCAAATTCCAAACTCACCATGGGGCTTCTCTGGCAGGTGTGTCACTTTAGCTCTACTGGGACATCACATCATCATAAGCAGCCGTCATCTCGTCAGAGGCCATTTGTACATCCGTACAGCTCAGCGGTGTTCAGCCGTGACAGAGGATGAAACGCTGACACAGGCTATGACCAGGATGAGCCTTGAAAATATTACAGTAGGTGAAAGAAGCCAGATGCGAAAGACCACACAGTGTATCTTTTCATATATGGGAGACATCGGGAACAGGAAAATCCATAGCAACAGAAAGTGGGCCGGGGATATAGCTCAGCAGCACAGCGCCTGCCTAGCAAGCACAAGGTCATGAGCTTGATTCCCGGTACCAAAAAAAAAAAGAAAAAGAAAAAAGAAAAGAAAAGAAAGAAAGAAAATGGGGCTCATTTTTGTCCTCTTCCTGAAGATCTGCGTTTCGTAAAACATAGCACTCATGGAATCTTCCAGAAAGGCTATAGCCCCAGCCAGGGCAAGAACCAGATTAGTGCCAGAGCCCTGTAATC